AAAAAGTGCAAGATTGCAATGCTTCATCAAGTTGGGCAAATTCACGTTCATCTGCCAACTTTGAGCATCCCACTCTCTTTGTCTGCATTAGCTTGGAAACCAAAATCAAGTTAGTTGACTTTGATTGTGTAGTAGTCCCTGAGATCAAATGAAGTAGTTCTTGAAATGTTGATAAAGTGATCGATTCCAAGTTCTCCATTAAGTTTGTGAAAGCTACTGTTTGATTTTCATTGTATGTAGATGACATGCTACATTTGATGAAGAAGCTAATAAGAAGAATCTTGAAAGTATTGACTAGAAGATTTGATGAATTCAAAAGAAGTTATTAAATAGAAGATGTTGTATTAGTCCATTAATGAGTTTGCATCTATTTTGAGTAGGTATAAGCATTTATCCTTTCCTATAACATGAGTTTCTGTCTTTTACAAGTGTATAAAGTGTCTCAAGTATTTTTAATCTGTTAAAAATCGTTTTAATCGATTAATATGTTTTTTAGTCGTAGTTTTAACTTATATGTTTTCAAAATAATCGATTAAAATCATTTAGACAACTTGAAAACACTTTCTGTCGCAATTTTAATTAATAAATTTTTGAAATAATCGATTAAAATCGCTTAAATAAATTAAAAATTCTTTCTGTCAAGTTTTAATCGATATATCTTCAAAATAATCAATTAATTTCACTTAAGAATTTTTGGAAAACCTTCTGTTAGAATTTTAATCGATATATCTTTGAAATAATCAATTAATTTCACTTAACAAGTTTTAAAAAACTTTCTGTTAGAATTTTAACTGATATATCTTTGAAATAATGGATTAAAATTACTTAAGAAGTTTTAGAAAATATTATGTCAAAACTTTAACTGGTATATCTTCGAAATTATCGGTTAAAATCACTTAAGAAGTTTTAAAATACTTACTGTCAAAATTTTAATCGATATAACTTTGAAATAATCGATTAAAAATACTTAAACAATTTTTGTATAACAGTTTTAATCAATTAAATCTTGTTTTTATTAGTTAAAATGCCTCTGGAAAAATTTCAAAGTTCTTTTAATCGATTAAACCATGTTTTTATCAATTAAAACGTCGTGAGAAAAATTGGTAGAACCTTTTAATTAATTAAAAAATAAATTCACCGAGTTAAATTCATTTAAGATAAGTTGTTTTAATTGATTACAATGCAAATTAATCGATTAATCACATAAGTTAGTTAGAAAAATCTCTATATAAACAGATCTTCTCCAACGTTTTAAAATACATCTTTGAGAAATCAATTAACCAATCTTTAAAGATATTTTTCAAGAGAGAAACGTGTCTTTCTTATTAGAATTCTTTAGCAATCTTTCTTTAGGTTCTTTGTTCTTATTTTTTAAGGAAACTCACTCTGTAGTTGGATTTTTGCATTTGCGTACTGATTTGATTGTTGTAGTTTCTTCGAGTTTCTTAATTATCATTCTGTTCATTGTATTTTTGGTGTCTGAAATTGTGGGCACTGATTTAAGCAGTTGGAATTGTGGTTGTTGTCATAGGTCCAAGAACTGGTTTAAAGTTCTTGGTGTAAATTGTTTTTCTGCAATTTGTTCTTGTAATCAATCGGTATTTGATTATTGAAACTCAACTGAAATTTGGTTGAGAACTGGAGATAGTCTAGTGGATTGGGTGAACCAGTATAATCTTGGTGTTCTTGCTTTTCTTTTATCTTTTTCTTTCATTTAAGATTGTTATTATTTGGTTTAAGAATTGATTGAGTTCTTCAATATTCGAAATTTACAATTTGTACTCAAAAGTTGCAAAAAGTTTTTTATTAGATTAATTCACCCCCTCTTCATCTGAGCTTGTATTTCTAACAACATTTTGTTGTACTACCCAAATTTGCCAAGGCTTTTGAGATGGCCTTTTTTACCACCTTTCTTGAAGTCAAGAACTTCTTAATCTCTGTCCTGAGCTCTACTTCACCTCCCTTTCTCCTTCTCATAATTGAATGAAGTTCTCGCATGCACTCATTTGTATATAGTAGAGAGTCTTTGGCGGTTGTGCACACATCTAAGAGAGCCTTAAGGATCCATTCAGAAGCTCTCATCTACCCAGTTTTCTTGCCTCTCACGGTGAAATGCTTCTTGAGTGAGGGGAAGCTGGAACAATTTTTCTACACATTCATGTAGATCTTGCAAACCTCCTAGCTTGTGGCTAAGGGATGAAGAGGAAGAGGAGGTTTCCTGTGAAGCCTTCAACCTGTCCAAGTGCTCATTGCATTGTAGGATAAGAGGGTGTGGTCTAGAGGGCAAGCTGTTTGAAGAGCATGGAAATGGGATTTTGTGTTGAATTCAGAGGTTGTCATTTTTTCTTCAGAGGAAGAGAAGTCTAGATGTTGAGAATAGAATTCAGTTTTTGGATCTACCTCCTGCTAATGCCATCTGCTCAATATATATATAACAGGGTGTTAGGGACACGAGGAATCTCACTTAAACTAATATCAATAAGAGCTAACAAATCAAGATTTGGATCTAAACATGATCACATAATTGTTAGGAAAGTGTCTCCCACATGAAATCTCCCCCAACCAACACTTTGATTCATTTTTCTCTCACTTCAATGATTGACGTTTTCAATGAGAACTATAAAAATCTTGCATTGAATAGTGTAATTGATATGGACGTGTGGACGACTCAGATGGCTAATACAATGGCTGCAGTACGGCTGAACATGTCTTTCATGCAGAAACACGAATTGTTGTTCCATAAACAAAATAAGGCGTGTGTGAGAAAAAAAAAGGGAGGTGAGGTGGAGCCTGCTCTGTCTCTCTGTTGCATCTCATTGATTTAATATAAACCTGTCTAATGGTTAGGAACATTAGGTCTGTTGCATCTAAATTAAAAATTTGGATCAGAAAAATACAAGGTGTAGGATAATTGTAAGCATCATAACTAAGGTCAAAATATTGGAACTCATTTGATACTCTTTCACGAATCTAAATCTAAATGATTAAGTCTCGTTGTTCTTGAAAAAACGTGAAAATTTTGACTATTTCAACATCTTAAACGTAGAATTGAGTATGTCAATTCAATTTCCGTCCAGTGTCATGTGTAACATATATAATGGACATTTACTGAAGATGCAAGGATTGTCATCTTAAGCAAAAATCAATGAGTGCTAACTAATCAGGATTTGAATCTAAACATATGCTTATAATATTAATTCAATGTCTCGCACAAGGAATCTCCTACACCCCGTTTCTCTTAATCGATTTCCTATATAATGCAACACACGATTTGCAATAACGAGTGCCCGCGCAGGTGGCAAAAACACAGGCTTGGGTCACGTTGTGGATGGCGAACAAATGCCGCATCTCGTGTCCACTGCTCATGGCATCATGCTAAAATTAGTTTTTAAGTAGCACAAAGTGTTGGGTCTGTGGACGTGTGAATTGGCCCCTCACCTGGATGTTTTCTAGTGTCCCCAATTCCATATATATTAATTAATCAACATTAATATACACGGATGTTAGCTCCTATTTCGTAATAGCATGGACCACCATATTTGATGATAATATGCTAATTCACTTGTCTTGTTTACACCACTACAACCCGCTTCCATTTCATTATCATATTAAACTTGGGAACATGTGCAGGCATAGGTTTTGATTTACTAATCAACCCAACGCAAGTTGTAACGTCAACAGAAAGAAATAAAAGTTGATTAGAAGTTATGATTAGTAATATGGCCTTGATTCCTGTTTCATATGTATAATTGAATAATAAACAATAGATTGTAACATCTGTAGGTAGATTAAATAAAAGAAAAAGTGTTTTTTTCTGTTTTATCATCTCTTTCCTTTCATTGTTAATATTGAACTTTTGGGATAAAAAGGGAGGTTGAAAGATGAGATGTAGAGGGTAAACATGAACCCACTTATCAAGTAAATTCAATGGGTGTAAAAGAATAAAAAAGGTGATGGTTCAAGAGAGAGGCTCGGCAAGCTCATCGGATTGGAAGTGCAGAAGCCTGTGATCCCTCCACTGTCAAGAGCCAGAGGTGTTCGCTGCTCTGTGATGCCAGCCTCACGCGGTGCCCTCTGTCTAGGAACCACGAGATCAATGCCTTCGCACAGTTCCCATGGCTCGACTCCCAGCTTGGAGTGGGCAGGCCAGCAAGATGCGACATCCAAACCAACTTAGCAAAGCCAAAGCCTTGTTCCTAACACCTTCATGCCCCCTCTTGGGTCACAAGCTGACAGTTACCCAGCTCGGCGAACCCACATGCTTGTCAGAAGATTTATAAAAATTAGTTTATCAAATATTCCAAGAGACGTGGGACTTGCAAATCACAATATAAAGAAGGGAGTCTTAAGTTGCAAATCACAAGATTTAATTTTCTCCATGTTAAAAGGTTTCCGTTGAGTCCATTTCAAACGGCAGAGAACAACATAAAGCTGCCATTTCAAAGTCACGATTCCATTGTCATTAGGGTGATTGTTTAATAACCAATAAACAACTTAAACCTTTTGTTTTCGTTAATACCCTCGTCAGAAAAAGTTCAATTTTGATATATTTTGTTAATGTAATTCTTAACGGAACTCCAGTTGCTTCTTGCACCCCATAATTCTTACTGTACCTTTGTACCTTCATGATTTTTAGGAAGACAAATTTTATTTTGATTTTAAGGTAAAATAAGTATATTTCAAATGCTTCAAAAATGACTCACTTAATTAACTGATTGATAGCAAGTTGACTCATCACCCATTTTTATTTAAATATTTGTGAAGAGAGATGCTTAGTTAATCGGGTAGAATGAATAGAAAAAAATGTTTACTATTTTAACATCTCTTTCCTATCACTTATTTTATTGGTGAACTTTCCTAAGAAAAAGGGAAGTTGAAAGATGAGATGTAGAGAGTAAGGGGAATGTACATAAGTGATAGATGCTGAAATAATCAAACAATAGGTATTCACTAAATTATAGACAGATTATATCACATTCATGTACAGTTGTTAGACACTCATGAGGGAAAATGAGTGCAGAGGTATTACAGCAAAACTGCAGGTAAGATTTATGTTGCCCTTTCAAGTTCCAACCACCTTTTAAGTTGTTTATTGGTTATTAAACAATCACCCTAATGACAATGGAATCGTGACTTTGAAATGGCAGCTTTATGTTGTTCTCTGCCGTTTGAAATGGACTCAACGGACACCTTTTAACATGGAGAAAAATAAATCTTGTGATTTGCAACTTAAGACTCCCTTCTTTATATTGTGATTTGCAAGTCCCACGTCTCTTGGAATATTTGATAAACTAATTTTTATAAATCTTCTGACAAGCATGTGGGTTCGCCGAGCTGGGTAACTGTCAGCTTGTGACCCAAGAGGGGGCATGAAGGTGTTAGGAACAAGGCTTTGGCTTTGCTAAGTTGGTTTGGATGTCGCATCTTGTTGGCCTGCCCACTCCAAGCTGGGAGTCGAGCCATGGGAACTTGGCGAAGGCATTGGTCTCGTGGTTCCTAGACAGAGGGCACCGCGTGAGGCTGGCTTCACAGAGCAGCGAACACCTCTGGCTCTCGACAGTGGAGGGACCACAGGCTTCTGCACTTCCAATCCGATGAGCTTGGCGAGCCTCTCTCTTGAACCATCACCTTTTTTATTCTTTTACACCCATTGAATTTACTTGATAAGTCGCTTCAATTGCCATTTGAACAACAAGTGCGAGAATGCAATGACAAGTGGGTTCATGTTTACCCTCTACGTCTCATCTTTCAACCTCCCTTTTTATCCCAAAAGTTCAATATTAACAATGAAAGGAAAGAGATGATAAAAGAGAAGTTGAAATGATTAATACGAGAAATGAAAACCATAAGAAAGAGGTAAAAGTTGACACTATAATATAATAAAGGAAAAAAAAGAGATCAATTACTTAAATTTTTATCTAATTATGTTTACGTATTTGTATGGTTAACCATAAATTTTCAATAAAACCAGAATGTTCACGATAGAATGAAAGTTGAGGCGAATGAAACGAGAAATATCATTGAAGATTAATGAAGAAGTAACTCGATGCTACATTCCTCATAGTAGCCAAGTACTCTCAATGGGTTGTCAACATAATACCTATCCCAAGAAAAAATGGAAAAGTGAGGATGTGTGTTGACTATCGAGACTTGAATAGGGCAAATCTTAAAGATAAATTTTCGTTACCTTACATAGACATGCTGGTCGACAATACGACAAAATACTTGTTTTTCTCCTTTATGGATGGTTTCTCCGAGTATAATCAAATTAAAATGTCACCTAAAGATATTGAGAAAACCACATTCATCACACCATGGAGGCATTTTGCTATAAAGTAATGTCATTTGGATTGAAAAATATTGGGGCAACATATCAAAGGGTAATGGTTACTTTATTTCATGACATGATCCACAAAGAAATCGAGGTATATGTTGATGATATGATATCAAAGTCAAGAACAGAGAAAGAGCACATTAACGATTTACAAAAGTTGTTTGATCTGTTTGAGGAAGTATAAACTTCGCTTGAATCCAGCTATGTGTACCTTTGGTGTAAAGTCAGGAAAATTATTGGGATTTGTGGTGAGTGAAAAGGGCATAGAGGTTGATCCTGATAAAGTGCAAGCAATTGTTGATATGTCAGCCCCTAGTACAGAAAAAGAGGTTCATGGTTTCTTAAGAAAATTAAATTACATTGCTAGATTTATATCTCAATTGATTGCTACCTGTAGTCTCATCTTCAAATTGTTACGAAAGAATTAAACAGTGTAGTGGAATGAAGATTGTCAAAAGGCTTTTGAGGAAATCAAGCAATACCTACAAATAAAAACATAAAGAAAATTGTCCAAAATATTGTAGTTACATACAAGGATTGACACGAAATATTGTCATTCGCACTACACGAATATCACACCTCTGTTCGAACATCTACAGGAGCAAGCCCGTATTCTTTTGTGTATGGGATGGAGGCAGTGCTTTCAGTTGAAGTAGAAACTCTCTCTCTAAGGGTGTTGGCTGAAACAAAACTTGAAGAGGCTGAATTGATCCAGACTCGTATCGACCAATTGAATCTTATTGAAGAAAAAAGGTTGATCGCCCTATGTCATGGACAGTTGTATAAAAAAAAGTTGAAAAGATCCTATAATAAAAAGGTCTATCCTCGACAATTTCATGAAAGAGATTTGGTCCTCAAGAAGATCTTACCAACACAGAAAGATCAAAGAGGAAAGTGGACACCGAATTATGAAGGACCATATGTGGTAAAGAAAGCTTTTTTGGGAGATGCCCTTATTCTTTCAAACATGGATGGTAACAATTTATAACTACCGATCAATTCTGATACAGTTAAGAAATACTATGCATAAAAAAAAAGAAATTGTTAGGCTAAAAATATGAAAAATGATCTAGTCAAAATTGAGCAACCTAATAAGCTAAAAACTCGAAAGCAGCTTAGGCAAGATAGGGGCAAATAGAATTACTTGACTGGTCTATATAAAAGTCAGAGCAACCTACAATGACGAAAGTTCAAAAATAAAGGGACAAGTTAAAAGATTGATATACACAAAGCTACAAGGGATGAAACCACAAATTGTCATATGTTTGCAAAGGTTGACGGATGAGATCTTCAAAATTGTAAACATAAGGATTAACTTTTTTATCCAAAAAAACCCTCAAATTGTCACTTATCTTTGTATTATTACGTATTCCTTAAACAAAATTGTTCTTGTATGCACTCTTTCCATTCCTAGCAATAAAAATAAATTGTCTCAACCACCACCTCTTTGTGTCATTTCATCATGAATATACCAATAAAGGAACATGTCATAATGTTAATAATGCATTATAATGAAAATGTGATGATTTAAAAAAAATGATGAAGTGATGTGGGCAAGAATGACCAGCTGTTGACAATTCGGAATCTTAAATAGCAAAGCATAACCATGATCCAATTGAAAAAGACGAATTCAACATATTTTAGAACAAAAATACATTTCAAAGATAGTTTCCTTCCATGAATCTTGATACACTCAAAATTGTAAGGGGTCAAGGTGTAGGAAAATGTGCATAATAATAATAAAAAAAAAAAACAAATAATCATTAGTCAAAAGTACATGCATCATACACCCATCATGAATAAGGCTAATCCTAAAGATAATTTTTTGTTACCTTACATTGACATGTTGATCGACAATACGACAAAATACTTGTTTTTCTCCTTTATGGATGGTTTCTCCGAGTATAATCAAATTAAAATGTCACCTAAAGATATTGAGAAAACCACATTCATCACACCATGGAGGCATTTTGCTATAAAGTAATGTCATTTGGATTGAAAAATATTGGGGCAACATATTAAAGGATAATGGTTACTTTATTTCATGACATGATCCACAAAGAAATCGAGGTATATGTTGATGATATGATATCAAAGTCAAGAACAGAGAAAGAGTACATTAATGATTTACAAAAGTTGTTTGATCGTTTCAGGAAGTAAAAACTTCGCTTGAATCCGGCTAAGTGTACCTTTGGTGTAAAGTCAGGAAAATTATTGGGATTTGTGGTGAGTGAAAAGGGCATAGAGGTTGATCCTGATAAAGTGCAAGCAATTGTTGATATGTCAACCCCTAGTACAGAAAAAGAGGTTTGTGGTTTCTTAAGAAGATTAAATTACATTGCTAGATTTATATCTTAGTTGATCGCTACCTGTAGTCCCATCTTCAAACTGTTACGAAAGAATTAAACAGTGCAGTGGAATGAGGATTATCAAAAGGCTTTTGAGGAAATCAAGGAATACCTACAAATAAAAACATAATGAAGATAGTCCAAAAGATTGTAGTTACATACAATGATTGACACGAAATGGTGTCCTTCGCACTATGTCATGGACAGTTGCATCAAAAAAGGTTGAAAAGATCATATGATAAAAAGGTCTGTCCTCGACAATTTCATGAAGGAGATTTGGTCCTCAAGAAGATTCTACCAACTCAGAAAGATCAAAGAAGAAAGTGGACGCCGAATTATGAAGGACCATATGTGGTAAAGAAAGCTTTTTTGGGAGATGCCCTTATTCTTTCAAACATGGATGGTAATGATTTATCACTACCGATCAATTCTGATGCAGTTAAGAAATATCATGCATAAAAAAAAAAAAGAATTCGTTAGGCTAAAAATATGAAAAACGATCTAGCGAAAATTGAGCAACCCAATAAGCTAAAAACTCGAAAGCAGCTTAGGCAAGATAGGGGCAAATAGAATTACTTGACTGGTCTATATAAAAGTCAGAGCAACCTACAATGGCAAAAGTTCAAAAATAAGGGGACAAGTTAAAAGATTGATATACACAAAGCTACAAGGGATGAAACCACAAATTGTCATATGTTTGCAAAGGTTGACGGATGAGATCTTCAAAATTGTAAACATGAGGATTAACTTTGTTACCCAAAAAAATCCTCAAATTGTCACTTATGTTTGTATTATTACGTATTCCTTAAACAAAATTATTCTTGTATGCACTCTTTCCATTCCTAGCAATAAAAATAGATTGTCTCAACCACCACCTCTTTGTGTCATTTCATCATGAATATACCAAAAAAGGAACATGTTATAATGTTAATAATGCATTATAATGAAAATGTGATGATTTAAAAAAAAATGATGAAGTGATGTGGGCAAGAATGACCAGCGGTTGACAATTCGGAATCTTAAATAGCAAAGTATAACCATGATCCAATTGAAAATGACGAATTCAACATATTTTAGAACAAAAATACATTTCAAAGATATCTTCCTTCCATGAATCTTGATACACTCGAAATCTTAAGGAGTCAAGGCGTAGGAAAATGTGCATAATAATAATAAAACAAATAATCATTAGTCAAAAGTACATGCATCATACACCCATCATGAATTTGCATATCATACGCCACACATTATGCATTCATATCTTACTTTAGTTGTGAATTACATGTCATACACTTTATTTGTAAATTACATATCATGCGCTTTATTTGTGAATTAAGTATCATGCATTACTTGTTTAAGTTAAGAATAAATAATTATTTAACCTTTGTTCCATTCAATATACATCTATCTAGACTATTTTAATATCGGGTCTCAGTGCCCAACTAACCAGATTCGTGCTAATAGCTGAAAGGTGTGGAAAATATTTATGTTAGCCTCTCATGCCCCTTACAAGGTTTCTCATGTCTCTTATAAGGTTTAAGTTATATTCATTATTTTTAATGTTTAAATACCTCTTTTGAACCCATTTTCAAGCTTTCAACCTTTCAAATCATAGCTTTATATTTGGTCCCGAGCCTTGGATCCCCGCGTCCACTTCTAAGTTTTCAACTTTTTTTTAGATCACAATTTTATTTATATTGACATATTTCAATCATAATATTAGATCCTCGAGTCCATTCTCAAGTTTTCAACTTTTCAAATCACAATTCTATTTATATTCTCATATTTCAATCGCAATATTGGATCTTGAGTCCATTCTGAAGTTTTGAACTTTTCAAGTCACAATTTTATTTATATTCGCAATATTTTAATAGCAATATTGGATCCCGAGTTCATTCTCAAGTTTTCAACTTTTC